TATATATATATATATATGCACACATTGGAAACCTAAGGTCTAGAGGGCTGCATTGGGATTGGGTCCCGCCCAACCCAAACCTTGCGGGAGCGGACGGTTAACAAATGATGTGGAAAAGAAGCTCAAACAAGGTCTGAAGGTGCACTGAGCCCTCTACTTCCCAGCGCTCTCAAAACTGGCGCGTTTCGTCTTCAGTATTCCCGCATCCAGTGCGCCTTCAGAGCGGGCCTTTAGTGTGGGCGCATCTTGGAAGAGAGACGGACGGGATTGGGACCGCAGTCGGTCAGCAACATTCTCTTCCTCCACAGCAATATTATGGCCAAGTGATTCATTTGTTAAATTAGTTCGTTTCATTCGTTAACTTTGTTTATTTTATGTTATTTATTAGTGTTTTTTGAGCCACTCACAGCCTACTCTCGTTGCTATTTGTTAATTACATAAAGAGGCGTGATGATGCCGGTGTTATTGAGCATAGGCTTTTTCTTTATCTCATTAATGTTTCTTATTCAGGTCTCTCTTAGAAAAGAGACCTTAACCTCAATCACTGTGTGATTATATAAAGGTAGAAAAATAGATAAAATACAGTGGAGGAGAATAGAATATGAAACAGACTTTATTTAATTAAAAACTAAATGAAAACAACGAAATAGGAGAGCTATTCCTGACCAGTGTGTCAAAAGACATGCAGGCCAGGGAAATGAAACAAACAACCCCATGAATCTCTTTATTAATAGCCTATTAAATGACGTGATTTCTCCTGCGGGACGGGAGAAGACACAAAATCAATGCATCTCTATTACTGTGTAGGCATAAATTCTCAGAGTTTTGCGGGAGCGGGCGAGAGTGGACATACACATTGCGGGTGCGGGCGGGAGTGTAACACACACGTTGCGGTTGCAGGTGGTAATGGTCAGAAATTCAGCGGGAGCGGGCAGGAGCGGGATGAAGAAAACAGTCCCGCGCAGGGCTCTACTTCCGTCCATAAGCGGATAATTATTATAACTGATTGTTTTTCTTTTTCTGAATTTTTCATGCAGGTTACCATCTAATTGACATTATGTATATTTGTTACATGAATATTCCTCTCATTCAGCGGCTTTCTCACTAACACTGCTTGCTCTCCTCATCCATTCTCTAGCTCGCTCGACCAGTGTTTCTCTCCCTCTCTCTCTCTCTCTCTCTCTCTCTCATTTTCTCTCAATAAAAAAACGTAGTCTCACTGATACTTATGACAAACTGCTCCATGTTGACTCGTGTTTACGCCACACGCCCCCCTCTCTTCCTCTACGCCCCCTCACCGCAATGAAGACCTCACTACCGCCCCCAACAGGCCACTACCTACACTGCAGAAACACTGCACTACCTCATCTTCTTCCATGTCCGTTCACTCTAATATTTATTGCATACCTGTCACTATTCATACTGCCATTCATGTTAGAATTACCACCAGGGTAAATCAGGTTTCTAATAAGAATAAGAGTAACCACCCTATCCCTGTGCTCATTACCAGCTTTTTATCAGAATTTTCTTATTTCATCTCCTCTGTTGTTATGATCATATTTTATTGGCTGGTGATTTCAACATTCATGTTGACCATCCTGACAACCGTTTTACATCAGAATTTTTATCAACTTGTGAATCTTTTAATCTAAGACAGCATGTATCGTCTCCTACACATGAACAGGGCCACATTCTTGATTTACCGTAGTTTTTACCTTGGGTTTAGACATGAACTCCCTGCTCCTTAGGGACTCTATTTCAGACCACAAAATGGTTATGTTTGATATAAACTGCATTTCTGCAAGTCTTTGCCCTAAGCAAACAGTATACACTCGTGTTTTAAATAACAACTCAGCTGCAGACTTTGCTGCTATCTTCAGTGCTCAGGATTGTCTTTTTCAGTGCAATAATGTAAATGACATGGTTAATCAATTTAATACCATGTGCCTGAGAACTCTGGACCAAATAGCCCCTATGAAACCGAGGTCATGTCGTCCCTCCAACCCTAGGCCCTGGATAAATGATAATATTAGAAAACTAAAAAGAGAATGTAGAAGAGCAAAACATAAATGGAGAAAAACAAAACTTCAAGTTCATCGACTCCATATGAAGGAGTTATTAGTTTCATTTAACTCACTGGTTAAAAATGAGAGACTGTCTTATTTTTCCAACCTAGTTGCTGCCAAAAAACAAAACCTGAGGTTTCTCTTCAGCACCATAAACAGTCTAATAAGCCCCACCCCAGCTATTGTCTGTGCCACCTCTGCAGAGGACTGTGAAAAGTTCCTGAAATATTTTGTTTGAATCACGCATTATTAAGGTAAATTTAAATTCTATTTTTCTAAAGAGTCGATGAACTCGAAATAATAACTGTTGTTAATAAATTAAAAAACAATAATAATTCACTGATTATAATGATATTGACATGAATTTAGTAAAATATATTATCCATAGCATAGTAAATCCACTAACTTATATCTTCAGTTAATCACTTCAAACAGGCATATTTCCAGATCAAATGAAAATCGCAAAGGTCATTCCCATCTACAAAAATGGAAACAGGCACTCCTTTTCAAATTATCGACCAAT